GTAGCCTCTGTCCAACATACCCTGTGAGATTTTGGCACATATATTTGCATTTCTTCTTTTTGATTGGAGTTTGGCTTGCACAGATGCTTCTCCCCATACAGCGATCAGATCCAGTGTCCCCCTTTTGGTCCATGCTGGAGCTCGTTTGCGATGCTGGGGGGACTGCATGGTCACCTGTACTGCTGAGCTCGTCACGCTGACCAAACAAGAAATGAAATTCAAAAGTTCCCGGGGCTTTTCCTGTATGCCTGGCTAGTGCATCGGAGTTCAAAGTGCTGTCCAGAGCGGTCACAGTGGAGCACTCTGGGATAGCTCCCGGAGGCCAATACTGTCGATTTGCGTCTGCACTACCCCAAATTCAACCCAGCAACGTCGATTTTAGTGCTACTCCCCTCGTCGGGGAGGAGTAAAGAAATCGATTTTAAGAGCCCTTTAGGTCAACGGAATGGGATTGGTTGTGTGGACGCATTCATTATAAAATTGACCTAACGTGGCTAAATTCGTCCTAAACCCCCCATAGTGTAGACCAGGGCTTAGAGAGTCATTTGCAGGAGAGAGAGACTGCAAGCGTGAGAAGGACTGTATAGTCATGTGGCTGGAGCACTCACCCATTTTATTATGTATTTGATATTCTTGCAACTATAAATAAAATGGGGGAAAATCCTCCAAAAGCAACTGAAACTAAACCGTTTTTTCTTTTGTTAGGAACAAATTCGGAGCCATTTGAAGAGTTTGAAGGAAGAGAGAGACGAGATTCTGTCGTATAAATCGAGTGAGGAAAATACAAGCCAGGAACTGCTGGTAGGTGCCGTTCTTACTCAGAGACAAACGTGCACAGGGACATTATTGATACTCTGCTTAGTCCAACAGAAGAAGAACAGTGAGAAACATCTTCCCTTCCATGAAAGATTGTTACTTATTTATTCGCATTGTAAAGAAAAACTGTTCTGCTTTAATTGAGTATAAACAGGAAAATGGAGCATTAGGGAAAGTTTTAATAATCCAGATATTTCCATTGA